AAGTTGGGGCAATGCCGGAGTTGGGGCAAAGTCGAAATTCGAGATATTTCGAAAACCGTAAGACATGGATGCCACCTGTCAGTGATGCTCTGAAGCTAAAGTGACTACAATTATCGCATGTTTGTTACGAGTCGTCATTCGGAATACTTCGGCTGTGAGGGCGCCAAGAGCGTTTTCAAGGTACGCGTTCCTTGTACTACATGCGCCTTTGAAGCTGCATTTCTTACTCATTATGCTACCGTTTGTCTGGCCGATTCGGTCAAGTAATCTTCAGCATGTCTTTGCATAAGTTTGCTGCCTATTAGAAATTTATACGGCACGTTGAAAAGTTATGGGCCTGCAAATGAAAGCATGGCTGGCTGGGGTAATGCCGAAAACGTGCAATTACGCACGTTAAAGCACGCTACGTGGACTTTACTGCTGTAGAATAGCAACGCGAATTTTTAGTCACACAAATTACGCTTTCAACCGACACAACGGCCTGTTACCTATAAGGAATTATTTACCTGGCATTTTCTTATTATATCACACAATTATAACATCCAGTGTGTATCAAGCGTCATCAAGCTCTAAAAACGCGTGTCAGCTTTGATAAATTCTGGATAAAGTTTGAGATAAAGTGGCAAAACATCAATGTCGGCATTCCCCGTAGATCATTTCTCCCATTTTTGGCTTTCCCCGCAGTCCGGGGCAACGCCGAAAAAGTCACTTCTTTGATATTTTTAGTTTGTGCGCTTAACGGTATGCGAATTCATCAAATGCGCCTGGTATGTTTGAAAGGCAAAAGACTGGCCTCTCGAATGACGCCAATAAGAATAGCTTATGTTGTCTACCTTGCGTGCTACGGGCGTCAGAAAAAAAGTATTCGGCGTTCCCCCAACTTCCCCTATCGGTGACCTAAGGTCAGGTCAATTTCGCGACCTCCCCATTATAAGTCAATGGGGGAAAAATCCTGTTTTTACCACTAAAACGGGTCGGAATGGCCCCATATACCATACATGACTTCATATACGATCAACCTTCACTACCTTGAGGTCTGTTTTGCTGTTCGGCAGCTGTGAGGTCATGTGACGTCATCAAAGGTCACCAAAGGTTTTTGGCCAATAACTCCGTACAGGAACAAGATACAGACGCGTGGATGGTCTCATTGTGTTCAGCTCGTCAAGACGCATCGAATGATATACACGATGACCTCGAGGTCACGTGACCTGAGGTCAACCTTTGACCTTGACCTTTCGAGGTCAACATATATATCATTCGATGCGGATTGACGAGAGGATCACGATGATGCCCTTGGTTTGTTCCTATCTTGACCAATTCGAAAGTTATTCGAGAAAAACTCTCTCCATATCTAGCGCCGCCATTTTGACTTTTTCGACCCCTGTGACGTCATCTTTGACCTGACCTGAAAATAGCCTTAGTAAAAATTGTAGATCTTGGCCGTGCGTATCCGATGCCGTTTACCGCTTGTCGCTATCTTGCTTCGTTCTCGAGATCTCAGGGGGGGGGGCGGTCATCCGCCCCCCCGTCGGTGCGAAGTTGGCGCAGACCCCCGTCGGTGCGCGGGTTAAAAGGGAATTGTCATAAACGAATCACGCATTTATGATAAATATTTCTACTTAGTAGTCTGGCATATCTAGTTTCAAATTTCATAGAGAAACTGATATTATCAATAAAATGCAGATCGTCAGGTAACTAGGAGATTCTAGTTTCCCGAACTAATACTAGGGTTGACTATTAAGTAATGGAAGTGCCTTTAGCAATTAAAAGTCCTTGCACGTGCACACATTATTTTGGTGCCATCACGTGCGCCGATGTTTTTCCTATCCAATGGTGAAGACCAGGTGTCTTTAGCTACATTTTGCTGTGAGCTATGGACGTTTTCCCAAGAGACCACCCAAACCTGCGGCGCACGACAAAAAAAAGGAGCCTGGCAATGGCCAAAATCGCGCGCCAGCGCGAGGTCATTAGATCTCAGTTTGTGGTAGGGAAAAGGTCTGCTGAGATCAGGAAATTTCTTTTAAAAGTGTATGGAGCGACGGCATCAGGTGCGCCGGGCGACAGGTGCGACGGGCGGTGTGCCGGGTGCTCGCGCAGATCAGGGAAGATGCAGGGCCTCCTCTAAGGATTTTTCACTGGGTGGGCAAAATTTTCGCCACTTCCCCGCCCAAGGGCGGATCCAGCCACTTGTTTTGGGGTTCAACCAATTTCAAAACCTGTTACCGGGGGGGGGGGGGTGCGGGGATGAGACGAAATAAGCTGTGCCATTATTGGAAATAAAATGATAGTTAACGTTTGTCGTATGTTTTATGGTTAGCGATGCTCGAGCGATTCGTTCCAGATTACATGTAGAGCCCTCAGCAGACTGCGTGGTAGGTATTCTTTTTCCGACAAAACTGATTATAATTCAAAAGTCATGTTATCAGTCGGTCGAAGCTCACTGCAAATAGATGCGCCATGCTCCACTCCTTCGATAGGGCCTATCAATAAACAAAGCATACCTACGCCTTGTGTGACAACAAAATGTTTAAGTTCGTTTTGGGGGCAAATATAAACTTTTGGGTTTTGTTGCCAAACTGGATGGAAAATGCATACGATGATAATGCCAATCTAAGCTGCGGAGTCTCGCGCATCTTTCTGTTACGATTTCCGAGTGCCCGATAGCATAGTATTCGCGTTATTCTCGGTTTTGTCGAGAAAAAAAGGATACCTACCACACAGTCTGCAGAGGGCTGTACTTGCAGCCCTCCGCAAAAAACTGCGTGGTAGGTATTCTTATTTCGACAAAACCGATACCTAATATCTCAAAGGTTATGATAATCAGTCGGTCGGAACACATTGCATATAGATGCGCCATGCTCCATCCCTTCGATTAATTCAGTCACTGAACAATGTGTACTCTTACCGTAGCAAAAAAGCAAAAGTTTGTTTTGGGGGGAAATATAAACTTTTGTGTGTTGTTGTCAAACTAGATGGAAAATGTATACCAAAATAAGCCCAATCTAAGGTGCGGAGTCTCGCGCGTCTTGCTGTTACGATTTCCGAATGACCGTTAGCGTATTCGCGTTATTCTCGGTTTTGTCGAAAAAAGATACCTACCACGCAGCTTGCAGAGGGTTGTACCTTTATTGTAAGTACGTGCCTTTTCACTTACGAGACAATTACTTGATAACTCCAATATCGGCAGGGGCGTGGCCAAGGGGAGGGGCCACGGGGGCAATGGCCCCCTCCCTTGAGCGCAGAAGGCGCCATGGGGGCCCCACAGGCCCCGGGATATTTTTTTCTAACACTGGATAAAACGTATTTTACTCGGAAGCAAATTTATATCAATTCAAGTTTCATTTCTGTGGCCCTGGTTACCCGAGGTGCCCCTGATTACCCAATGGGCCCCTGCACTCATCCGAGGACCCCCGGTTTCCTGGGGCCTCTGGTCGCCCAGGGGGCCCCTGGTCGCTTGGGGGGAGCTAGTCGCCTGGGGGCCCCTGGTCACCTGGGGTTCTGGTCGCCTGGGCCCCTGCCCCCTGGTCGTCTGAAAGAACATTTGTCACCTGCAGTGGCATAGCCAAGGAGGGGGCCAAAGGGACCATGGCCCCTCCTGGAAGCCAGGGGTCCTTATTCCATAGAGGCCCCTGACTGACACAGTGGGCCCTTGGCGACGCAAAGGCCCTGCGGCAGATCCTTTGACACAGCTGAGTAGCTATTCTTTGGCCAAGAGAGACCCAATTTTAGAGCCTTGGGGCCCTATTGAAACCAGGGGGCCAGTTGGATGGGATGGGTCCAACTTGGGTCCAACGGTGTGTAAACAGAATCAATGCGTTCCGACTGTTGGTCTGACCCTATATCGGTTTGAGGGAGCTCGGATCGGATCCACTGTCGATCTGAGGGGCCCTTATCGGTTTGAGGAGGCCCTCAAATGACCTGAACGGGCCCTTAGTTTGTCTGAGAGGGCCCTACGTCGGCCTGACTGGGCCTCTGCAAGTGCAAGGGGCCTTTTGTCGGTCTGAGTGGCCCTAGACGGCTTATATGACCCTCAGACGGCTTACGAGGCTCTCATGGGCTATAGGGGCCTGTGACGGTCTGAAGAACCCTCATCCGACCTACGAGTCCTCAGACCGCCATCAGAACCGGCTGGCGACTCTATGAAGCTATTCGTGGGCCTGTCTAACAGGGGCCCATATACTGCTTACCCCCTCAGTTCTAACATTGTTTGTTAATGAATATTTTTTTCCATTTATTTGGGCCCCATCCAAAAAAATATTGGATGCAACCCGATGGCTTTTTGGATTTTGAGGGGGTTATCTTGCGCCCTTGTGCGTTTAGCCCCCTCCTTGAGGAAATCCTGGCTACGCTCCTGAATATCGAGCAACCAGAAAACTTTTTTTGACCTTCAAACAGCATCCAGTTTGCTTAAGACCGGAAAGGTAGTACCGGACGTCCGGCCGGACCTTTATTTTTGCATTTGCTTCTGGGTGGGCAAATCGACGCCACTGGGTGGGCAATTGTGGCGACTGGGTGGGCATTTGCCCACCCAGTGGGTATGTTAGAGGAGGCCCTGGCCGAAGATGGCCTCCTGGCGGCATTCCAGGACTGGGAATCTGTGACTGGGTCAAGAGGCTGGAACGGTGTGTGATGCTAGGAGGCGATTATGTGGAGTAGTGGTGCTGTTATTTATTGTTTTATTGTGTTATATGTATTGTTTTTATGAAAATATAGCAACTTCCATTATCTTATTCGTGTAGCCATAATACTTGGCCACTGAGCCCTGGTGATCTCGCCCTGGCGCACGATTCTGGCTCCTTTTTTTGTCGTGCGCCGCAGGTTTGGGTGGTCTCTTGGAAAAACGTCGATAGCTCAGAGTAAAATGTAGCTAAAGAGATCTGGTCTTCACTATTGGATAGAAAAAAGATCGGCGCACGTGATGACACCAAAAAAATGTGTACACGTGCAACAACTTTTAATTGCTAGAGGCACTTCCATTACTTAATAGTCAACCCTAGTATATTGTCCTTTGACATTAACTTGACCAATGAGCTACTAAGACAGGCCACGAAACGTGTGCATATTCATAACCCCTGGATCGGTGCCTTTCATTTGCCTGCTAAGCTGCTCGTCTGGTTACAGCTGCCCATCCGAGCAGCGGACCGGGCTACCTTGACGGGGGAGGGGTGAGGGGGAGCTCTTTATAAACCCGCTGCCGCCGTGCCGAGCACCAGATTCTGACGGACCATCCAGCTCATCACATCACATCATGAAGATGGTACGGAGTCAAATTTATTGTTGAAAAAGCTGCAGCGCTCATTATATCTTATAAATGTCTATGTGCCCAAGACTAAGTAATTGATAGCGTTTAGTTTCTATCCAAACAACTAATTTTCATGCATACCAGTCCTGAACATGTGAAAAAATGCGTGATGAATATTAGATTTCAATCCCGGCTATTCAGTGATCCATCCTACATCTACCAAATCTCCAATCAAATAACTGTAACCCTGATGACATCGCACACATCTAACTCTGCGTTTTCCTTTTTTCAGTTCGCGTTCCTGCTGGTGGTGGCTGTGGCCGCGGCGGCTCCCCAGTTTGATCAGCAGCAGTTTGTCAGCCAGCCGCAGGTGCGCATTCTCAGCCAGAAAAACGAACAGGACCAGATCGGCAACTACGAGTACGCCTACGAGCAGGACAACGGACAGAGGGTGAGTCCGCGCACCGCCGCGCGCACACCGGTGCTACTCAGCGGGCTTCAGGGGCAGCTGGAGTTGAGGCCGGTCTGAGTTTAGTCTGTAAAAAATAAACAGTGGCCCGATTAGGACACAATATACCAACAGCAGTCACGAAGCATGTGTTTGTCGTGTTTGTCGTGACACCGGGATTCGTTCTGATTCGATGTCTGTCTCGTTTTCAGGTGCAGGAAGTTGGCCGTGTCGCGCCGGGCTCCCAGCCCGAGACTGGCTCCATCGAGCAGCAGGGCAGCTTCGAGTTCGTCGGTGACGACGGCAACACCTACCGGGTGGACTACACCGCCAACGAGGGTGGCTTCCAGCCGCAGGCCCCTCACCTGCCAGTGGCGCCGGCCCAGATTCCCGAGTACGCCCAGCTGAGGCAGGAGCACCCGGAGCTGTTCTGGGCCGAGAGCGGAGGAGCCGTCATCCAGCAGCAGCCGCAGCAGTTCTTTTAGAAGGTCATAAGTCATTATATCTAGTCACATGCGGATGAATGTGATGCCTGTCTCGGTGCCTTTTGTACAATCGAGCTGTTCAGCCTTGGAAGACGCCGTGAGATACTCTGCGCTGTTGATGCACGCTGCTCAGTGAAATACAAACTTTAGTCATAATTGCATGTTTGTTGATATGTTTGGACAGAAAGCGCCGGATAATCAAAGCGTAGGTATTCTTGTATTGAACGATAATTTACCGAACTCAAACTGTCACACTGTCGGGACTTGGTCGGGACCACAATTTAGGGCGTGACGCTAACTCATTCATTTGCCGCATCCCTACTGATTTGCGAGACGAAATGTAGGGTGTCACGAGTAATTTCAGAGAGGCAAATACTCCGGATAATTTTGTGTCGGTCCTGTGATGCCCTCGACCAAAACATACCCTCGACGCCCTCGACTAGTGAAATCGAACGAGCCATCGTATCCCATGTTTCATAAAGGTGAACATTGTCACATGATTTTCATTGGGTGGAGACTTCCGCCGGCGTCCAATTGGCGTCTAAGTGAGCATCAGCAGACGTCCAAGCTGGCGTCTAACTTGTGGAGGGAGACTTTCAACCTAGACGCGTCAGTAAAGTTAACCCGGCGGCCGCTGGGCCTCCGCGCCACCCGCCAGCCGCTGGGGGGGGGGGGGCATATAGTTGCCCCCCTTTACTTCTCCGACGATATCGTCGCAACGCGAAGAGATAGAGAAACGAAACTTTGCACACGTATTCCTGAATAGCTAGCCGAGGTTGTGTCCAAATTTGGTGTCGATCCCATTTGAAATGACGTCACCGTGACGTCAGAAGCAAAATCGTAGTTTGGCGTCTCTTAGTTTCCTCACGATATATCCGACATATGAGACCGAGAATATAGGACCGATAACTGGTCAGGATATAGTTGACAGGGTACTTAGATGTCTCAGAATGACAGCAGGTGCTGTTTACTTCATTTACCGCCGCGTTTCATGCTCGGCGACATCGGATACGCTCCATATCGGAAAACGGCAAAACTTTATGACGTCACTGTGACGTCATCTTAAGTGCTACAACCCCAAAATTTTCCTCAAATATGCGCTAGGTATTCATTTAACCCGCGCCCTGCTGGGGGGGGTGTTTGAACACCCCCCCTTGTGGTTTTTCGCGAATATCTCAAAAACGGCGGCGCTCCGCGCCGCCGTTTTTGGTACACCTTATCATACATCAATTCTACACATGTTGTGAAAATTTCAGACCAAGGTCATTCAAGGTCAGGTCACCAGGTCACTTGAAGTGACCTCACCTCATAAAAAGTTTCAATGTCTGTCATAGCTACACCGAGTGACCGATCGCTTTGAAACTTTCAGCGATTGCTAAGAGCAATAGCATGTACAAAATGTATATCTCAGAATTTTGATATCGATGACCTAAGGTCAGGTCAATTTTGCGACCTCCCCATTATAAGTCAATGGGAGAAAATTCAAATGCGCCTCTTTTGGACGAAAGACATCATAAACACTCCCAAACACCGAATTACAAGTGGTTTAGACACACAGAACATGAAAATGGTGTCCGTGACCCTTGTTTATGCCCTGAGGTCATCTTAGGTCACGAATGGTATCTAACAGTTTTTCGCAAATAACTTTTGATAGAGGCATGCTAGAGCGATGAAAACGCCTTAGATGTGTTCAGCTCGACGATACGGATCGACTGGTATGCAACATGACCCTTTCCGGTCAGGTCATGACCTTGACCTGAGGTCAAATTTTCAAGTTGACCTTTCAAGGTCAAGTTATAGTTCATTCGATGCGTCTTGACGAGAGGAACACGATGCCGGCAAAAGTAAGCTCGTACAAGGCTTGGGTCAAAAGTTATTGCAGAAAAACTGTTTCCGAAAATATCGCCTATTTTTGCAGTTTTTGGCCCCTGCAGGCAAAACCGTTGACGTTAGGTCAAATCTGAGAGAATTACTCAGAAAGGGCGTTAATAGGGCTATCGAATGCGCTTTTCCGCGGCGCTGTAGCTCTATTGGTTCTCGAGTTATGCGTTGGCTTCTTGGAAATTTTCGACATTCGACCTGGAAATCGGCGAAATTTTGCCTTCAATGACCTCTGGTGACCTGACCTTTGACCTGACCAAAAAATTGACCGAAGTGATTTCGTCATTATTTTTGACGCTCTTTCGAACGCCGCCTTCCGCGTATCGCTACGTGGCCCAGGAGCCGAGTTACAAGGGGGGGTGTTCAAACACCCCCCCCCCCCAGCAGGGCGTGGAAATCCAGGACCCCCAGCCGGGCGCGGGTTAAAGCTATGCCAAGTTTCAGCTTCGTATCTCATCCGGTTCCGGAGATATTACACCAAACGTAAAGGGGGGGGCAACTTTATGCCCCCCCCCCCCAGCGGCTCGTGGGTTAATAGTCGCCAGCTAGACGCAGCCGCCGTCCAGCTAGACGCGTCTAACACTTAGGCGCGTCTAGCTAGACGCGAAATGGAAGTCTTCACCCGTTGTCTACGGTCCACTGCAAAGCAAACCGCAATTGTAGATCTCCAATTTCGTCTTTTACTGCTGAGATGTGGACTGCCTGCTTTTTTATCCATGCAATGCGTGTTATTGGAGTATATTCCATAATCCCAGTGACTAGAGGTTAAATGGAGGGCTCTGCAGCCTTGAAGCTACTATTCTGATTTTCAGAATTTGAACAGCATTTGAAAGTCCCTCAAAACTGTCTCAATTTTGCCTAATATTGTTAGTTTTGAAGCCTAAGATGACGTTACAGTTCCAATAAAAGTACCTAAACAATAACAATAATTAGACATGTTTAGGCAATGGCGGACGCCAACGACAGAACGTCGAGTTCAATTTTGGTTTACCCACTCATGAACGCATGGTAGGGGTATCCTGGTCGTACCGAATCCCTACTTATTACGTTTGAGGCCAAAACTGTATAGTTCACAAATGTCATGGAAATAAAAAGCATGTAAAAAAAGCCATCTGAAACGAGTTTCATGGTCAATGTCGGCCATCGATCTTGAGTACGATGTGAACAGAACACCGTCTCAGGCCTTTTTGCTAGTGAATGTCATTCGGTCAGGTCCCAGTGAGATCAAGATAGATCAAAGTTTGAAGTAAAAAAATATAGATAAAGGTTTATGTATCGGATGCTGTTTTAGCTCAGACCATGAGGGTGTTGCCTATATTTATGTGTTTTGTCAGGGCTTTGGACTCCAGAGTACACTGGAAGGAAAGAGTATTTATCTGAATGTCGGAATGTTTGCAAATCGTTTTTGCCAAGTTATTGGCAAAAACGTCATTTGACCTCAGTTGATCTCATCTGACCTGACTCATGGATAAGTACACCAAACAAAGAAGCAACAAGTGACCTGCTGTTAAGTACTGTGGTTTCTAAGCACAGAAGTGATAGAACGAAGCGGATATCTCCAGTATTTTCCGAATTTAGTATTTTACCACATGCCGAGATATCCCTTTAACCCGCGCCGTGCTGGGGGGGGGCGTTTTTACGCCCCCCCCCCCCCTCAGGTTTTTCGCGAATATCTCAAAAACGGCGGCGCGCAGCGCCGCCGTTTTTGGTACACGTGTTCCTACATCATTTCCGCACATGTTGTGAAAATTTCAGACCTAGGCCGTTCAAGGTCAGGTCACCAGGTCACGTCAAGTGACCTTACCTCAGAAAAAGTTCAAAGGCTCGCTATAGCTACACCGACTGAACGATCACTTTGAAACTTTCAGCGATTGATATGAGTAACAGTATGTATAAAATGTATATCTCGGATTTTTGATATCTGTGACCTAAGGTCAGGTCAATTTTGCGACCTCTCCATTATAAGTCAATGGGAGAAAATTGAAATGCGCCTCTTTTGGACGAATATCGTTCAAAACGCTCTCAAACATCGGTTCATAGGTAACCATGACACACTGAATAGGAAAAAATGCACCAGTGACCCCTCTGTGTGCCCCTGAGGTCATCTCAGGTCATGATTGGTCGCCAGCAGTTTTTTGGCTATAACTTTTGATAGAGACGTGCTAGAGCGGTGAAAACACGTCAGATGTGTTCAGCTCGACGATACGGATCGACTGATATGCAACATGACCCTTTTCGGTCAGGTCATGACCTTGACCTGAGGTCAAATTTTCAAAATGACCTTTCAAGGTCAACGAATAGTTCATTCGACGCGTCTCGACGAGAGGAACACGATGCTGGCAAAAGTAATGTCATGGCGCTTATGAGTCAAAAGTTATTGACGAAAAAACGTTTTTCGTAAAAACGGCTATTTTTGGAGTTTTTGCCCTCTGGAGGCTAAACCGTTGACCTGAGGTCAAATCTGAGAACATTACTCAGAAAGGTCTGTAAAAGGGCTATCGAATGCGCTTTTCCGCGGCGCTGTAGCTCTATCGGTTCCCGAGATAGCCGTTGGCAGTTTCCAAAATGTTGAAATAGTCAACATTTTACCTTTGGTGACCTCTGGTGACCTGACCTTTGACCTGACCCAAAAAATGACCGAAGTGTTTTCGTCCTTATTTTTGACGCTCTTTCGATTGCCGCTTACCGCGTGTCGCTACGTGGCCCAGGAGCCGAGTTAGACGGGGGGGGCGTGAAAACGCCCCCCCCCCAGCACTCGGCGGAAAGTTCAGGCCACCAGCACGGCGCGGGTTAACATTAGCACGTGCATTTGGGAAATGGCTTCGGCCCGCCTCGGCTAATGTTGAAGGTATTTGGGAAACGATTCGGCCCTAGGGCTTTTTGATTTTCCCAGACAAAATTTTACTGAATATTCTGAGCGGAAGAACCAATTTCAAAGAAGATATTTACGGATTGTGTGTTCACTAACAGCAACAGCAAAAGTAAGTGACTGCGTGTTTACTTACTTTTGCTGTCAACGTAATTCAACTAAACAAGGTTATCGTTCCAATGCCAATGTATTTATTGCTGCAGAACATCGCCGGAATAATCATTATTTCTACATAATGCACGCAAAAAACGAACAATTTAAATGCGTGAAGCATCTTAACGTGCCACAATGAAATATTTGATATTGTTCCAGCTGGGATCCAAGACGCGTTTGTTTCAGCGTTTCACCCAATTTTCAGTTTTCCTCACGGTTTCCTCACCCCTGCTGGACTCCA